TCTTTTTCTAGCATCAGTATCCGCGTAAATAAAAGAAGCGAAAAAATTCTTTCCCTGGAAATCAATACTTGTATCAATACAATTTGCAGTGGAACTCAGTATCTGAATATTAATTTCCTGCTTCCAAAATAAGGCGAGTCCGCCAGCTCCATGTCCAGTAGGTGGCACTAGGTGAGAGTTCTCGTACTGGAGCTGATTCAACTTATCATTTATTAAGCAAAACTAACAAGGGATATACATATTAAGGTACCATAAAACAGATTGTAGGAAGTTAGTTTTGTTTACAAACCTCTTTATCTGAGTTGCGTCCTGATTTGATAAATTTTGACAAGAAGTAGTAGTTGGTGTTAGCACCAAGAGAGGCTTGATGATAATATGTAACCCAATGACTTAATGAAAGTTCTCCCTCACTGGGAAATGAGAACTTAGACCGTACAGAAGAGACCAAGTATAACACAGCAAGCAACCTTGAAATCTGTTGTAAACCAGCCAGTCTCTTTTTAATATATGCTAAATCACTATCACAACATAAACAAAAAGAAAAGAAAAAGCTTTACCTTACGACATAGTATTGGAGCATCTCTGCTGAGTACGAAAGCCAATGTTAACCATGAAATCAGCTGTTGAAATGAAATATGTGATAAATCACATAAAACAGACCTATAAAATATAGTGTGATCAGTGATGTCTGGTGGAATTTTCAAATTGACATTTTATTAAAAAATTTATTAACCAATATGACGAACCTGGAGTGGTGAGTTTGAAGACTCAACTTGCACAAGTTGTATAATATTCTTGCACGATCAAGACCAAATACATCTCCTTTTATTTCCTTCCCAATAAAATCCAGCAATGGTGAGCTGAGGATAGATACGGTACTGTTATATAAAGCAGCGATACTATGCAAAATTGCCCCATGTGCTTGATGAACCTTCCCAAATTTAGCCAAAATTTTTCCTGAAATAAAATCGCTTTAGCTCTTAGAACAACACATATTCTAGTCGAGCATTACTGTACATGTAATCCGTTCTTTGTTGGAAGAGTAAATATAACATAACATGCATGCATATTAAAAACCATTGGTGATGAAGAAATGGCCCAGAAAAGAAAGTAACCAGAAGCAAAACAAAACATACATTTTAATAGTGTATGAACCAAATTTTAGGCTGAAATTTTAGTATAAAAATACAATATTATAAGGGATTAAGGCATACCAAGGCTGACAAGAACCGTGCACGCAAGCCTCCTTTGGTAAAATTGCCATTTCAAACTTATAAAATTATTCAGCAATCCAGATCTTGTAACTTCGTTAGAGAGGTGTTGCTGACTTATTCTATTGATGCAAACACAGATTGTGTTTTTAGTCTCATGCATCAACCCCTTTGCAT